TTCACAGCGTCATGAATAAGAGCCGAAACCACTGTAAATACCGATGGTGTTTGTGTTCCCGTACAAAGTTTGCACTCTCGACGCCTCTTGACAGACTGGTAAAAAACAGGGTCCAGTTTTATGGACACCATTTACACTCTCGGCGCGTCTTGTCGGAGTGGTAAAAGACAGAGTCCAGTTTGTGTGCCTCATCCTTTATTAATTATTGTCATCTTGTCAAAGTCTTATTATTAGTTTCAGTCTTAAAAAAAACAGTGTTAACATTGGTCTTGACTTAATTTTGTTCTAAGTTTTAACCTCAACTATTGTGAGTAGTAACCTTAATATTTTTGCTAGCGTTAGCATTATTATTGGTTTTGTGTCATTACTAATTTTAGAAGTTCTAACAATGCTGCTGGTATCTGTCCAATATTACTGTTCGTTTGATTAGTTTTCCTGTTAGTGCTGATGCTGGTGTCAGTGTCAACCTCAGTGTTAGTCTTAATATTAATATGAGTATTAGTGCTCCAGTTTAATTTAATATATGTCTATAGCAGTGTTAGTGTTAGTGTTCGTGTTAGTATTCGTATTAATATTAGACGTGGGCTGGGCTTTAAAAACTTAGTCTTAGTACATTATGTGTATAAGTATTCATATGTGTATATTCAGTATATTGGTATATAAACAAAACATATATATTCATAAAAAATTTTGGGTATACTCGTATATTGGTATATTAGTAACAATGGTCTATTGGTATATCAGTTTCTCAGTATATTAGTATATTAATTTATTAGTATATTAGTATAATACTATAACCATACATATTGGTAAATGAAAACATTGAGTTTTTAACAATCTGATGCATTCATTTCCTTGTGCCTTATTCTGATGTATTCTTTAGTATACATTACAAAAACGATATTGACATTAATATGATGTTTGTAAATTCATATTGGTATTGATATTAATATGAGTATGTAATAATCTTTCTATATTTGTATGAGCACAAATAATTTTGCTAGTATTATGCATGTTCGTACTAGCCGAAGTATTAGTGCTCATATTAATATCAATATGGTTCTAAAGAGACTATTAATGTCGGTATTCGTACTGAGAATAATTTTGTTAAGAACATGAGCATAAATACCCGTAGGAATATTCATACCTATGCTTGTATTGGTATTAATACTCGTATTAGCATGAGTACTAGCATTAGTACGTATCTAGGCATGACGATTCTTATATGAATATAAAAGGGGAACATGATTATTAGTATTCGTAAGAACATTAGTTTTCCTATACATTAATGCTAACTAATATTACTATGCATATTAGTATTGGCAAGAACATTAAAGTTCGTGTTCACATCAATTCTAAAATTGGTATTAGTACAGTTTTTTCAGTATTGGGAGTAGATACAAGTTGTAGAATTAAAATTCGTATGAACAAAACATGCGTTGGTATTCGTCGGAATATGAAACTTGAGGTTACACTTCGTATGAGTTACTAGTACTACTGAAAAACATACCAATGCTGATATTAATACGAATGCTAACATTCATGTATGAGCATGTTATTATGCACGTTCGCACTAGCCTTAGTGCTAATATTAGCATGAATATGAGTACTCCAAAAATGAGTAATTTCACGAATATGCATAGCCAATATTCATACTAGCGATAATACTAGCTATAGTATGTATATTAGTATTCGCATCAAGACTATTCATACAATGTACATGATTTCAAGTATTCTTGGGAACATCAGTATTCATACTAGCATACTATCAGTTTCACCAGTAGTATTACTATAAGTATTAGTACTCGTATGAGTATTATAGTTTTCAAAGTTTTCAAAATAATATCAATATTACTACAAGTATCAGTTGCACAGACACGTCAACCGGCGACGTCGCGAGGTCGAGTTCCCTAAATTCTCTAATCACTGCTTCCATGCCTCGAATTTACAGAATGCGTGAGTTCCTGCAGACTCCCTAAATCCCTAAAGTCTTTACATACCCTAATTTCCAGCCCCATGTGTTGGTTTTAGCGCATTCCCTAACATTCCTGACTCCCAGCCCGGACCATGTGTTGGATTTAGGGAATTCCCTAAATTCCCTAAATTCCCTAATTCCCTACCCCATGTGTTGGATTTGGGGAATTCCCTAAATTCCTAAATTCCCTAAATTCCCTAAATTCCTTAAATTCCTAAATTCCCTAAATTCCCTAAATTCCCTAAATTCCCTAAATTCCCTACCCATGAACGGAAACCATTGAATCTTCTCCATGGGGGTCAGACTTAGGGAATTTAGGGAATTTAGGGAATTTAGGGAATTTAGGGAATTTAGGGAATTTAAGGAATTTAAGGAATTTAGGGAATTTAGGGAATTTAGGGAAATAGGGAATTCCCCAAATCCAACACATGGGGTAGGGAATTAGGGAATTTAGGGAATTTAGGGAAATACCTAAATCCAATGGGTAGGGAATTAGGGAATTTAGGGAATTCAGGGTTGGTCTTGGGGGGGGGGGTTAGCATATATATATATATATATATATTTATATATATATTTATATGTATAGTATCCATATATTATGCATTTGCCAATCCCTCTGACAAGTTGCCACTTGACCTGTTGAGTCAGGCTCTGAGCCCTCACGCTAGGCGGATCTTGATTAAGCGTTCCCACACACAGGGCATAGAGTGAACTACATCGAGTCAAGTGTATGGTACAAAGATGACTCCACGACTCCGTGACTCTATCTCACTACAACTCTATGACTTTATGACTCATGACCCATGGACTCTATGACTCTTGATTCTGTGACTTTACGATCCTATACACTGACTCTATCTCACTACGACTCTATGACGCTATGTCACTGCAACTCTATGACTTTATGACTCATGACTCATGGACTCTATGACTCTTGATTCTGTGACTTTACGATCCTATACACTGGATCTATCACATAGCCCCACACTCTTCGCTGATGATGCTTTCGGGCCAATTGTCTTCTAGTTGTTTGTTGCGTCGAAAGGGGGGCAACATTTCATGACGGATCGTAGCCCTGCAAGTGGCCAAACGGATCCAGCCGTCAAAAAAGACGGCCCACGATGTGGGGCGAAGGCGCGAGGCCGGGGGTACCATAGGTAGTGTTACGGGTTGGGTTTGCCAGTGCCGGCCGGCGCAGTTGCTCCTTCCGTGGGGGTTTCACGAAAGACTGAAGACCCGGTGCGCGCACGCGCGCGAGGGGGGCTTAGGCTTCCCTTTGGCCGAGTGCAAGCAAGAGAGAGAGAGAGAGAGAGAGAGAGGGTCCGTTTGCCAAAGTGACCGGGGAGCTGGGGGAAGAAGCCCGCCAACGGAGCAAAGCAACGTTCTATAGTCGGGTGCATCGATGGTCATGGTTTGGTTGGTTTGGGGGCCGGGGATTGCCGGAGCACTCGAGGGAACGTGTCTGTCATCCCAACCCCGAGAGGGGCCTCGAAGACGCCCAGACGCGAGCCACGGGGGCAGACCCCTCCGCAAGCAAGCAAGCAAGCAAGAGAGAGAGAAAGAGTGGAGCCCATACCCTTGCGCAAGCAAGCAAGCAAGCAAGAGAGAGTGGAAGGCCCATGGATGATTTGACTAGAGCTTGCTGGTTGCGCATGGCTATGGTTTAGGAGGTGTGTTTTGGGGGGAGGGTATACGAGCTCAGTCGGGGCAGCATGCGATGTCCCTCAACCGGGGCTCCATACCCTTCCAAGCAAGCAAGCAAGAGAGACAGAGAGAGGATTGTGCTGAAAGCAAAGCCTAAGCAAAGATAGAGAGAGAGAAGGAACTCGCCCTCTTACATAAGCCTGGAGAAGAAGAAATCCCTCTCCCTCTGTCACTCTCTCTCCCTCCCTCTCTTTCTCTCTCTCTCTCTCTCTCTCTCTTTCTCTCTCTCTCTCTCTCTCTCTCGCTCTCTTTCTCCCTCTCTCTCTCACGCACACACTCTCTCTCTCTAGGCTCTCTCTCTCTCTCACACACTGCCGGGCGTAGGGAGGGGTCAAGGTCCCCCGGGCTGCAGGCACACCCGTGCTGTTGCGCGTGAGAAACGAAAAGTTGCGAGGGCAAGGGTTAAGGTCGTGATGTATTGCAATTTGATTTCATTATGTGCCTTTTCCTCAGGGGGGGAGTTTAATAGTCCGGTGCCTATTTTGATGCCCCTCCATATTTCGAGAAAAGGTGCGAGGGACGATATTAGTCATTAGCCTTTGCCTCATGACATGGCCGTAGCCATTGCCCTCGCAGCTTTTCATTTCTCACGCGCCTGTCCCGCAACACACGGGTGGGCATGGGGCCGCGGGACCTTGACATACCTTGATGGTCCCCATGCCCGGGAGAGGGCGAGAGGGAGAGAGAGAGAGAGAGAGACAGAGAGAGAGAGAGAGAGAGAGAGAAATTTGTAACAGGCAGCAATAGCACACCAGGAACTGTTTACAGTGTGTTGTGAGGGCAGTCGCGACGTGTTGTCAAGTGAACGGGATGTGCTGTTGCGAAGCCAGCCGGGGCAGAGTCGGGGCAGCACAGAACAACACGCTCTGGGGGGCAGACGGTGCAAGCCAGTGCGTTTCTTGGAACCGTGCGCGAGGCCAGGGGTTGTTAAATTAAAGGGCTTCTGATGTCCTCTGGCTGCGTGCAAGCAAGCAAGCAAGTGCTTGGCCCAGACCCAACAACCCAGTGCGCGCTCGCAAGTCCTTATCTGGGTGGAAGAAGAAGACGAAGAGCAAGCAAGCAAGCAAGCAAGAGAGAGAGAAAGAGAAACCCCGGCCGTTATTCGGCGGGATTTGGTGGGAGGTTGAACTTTGGCTTGCAGCGTCCCCTAGCCAACGCGTTACGTCCCTCCTTGACTGTGGCCCCTGGAATGTAGCTGAGGAGTGCAGTATAGTGCAGTGCTTGGCTTTGGAGATGGGGTTGTTGTCTGGGAGGAAAGTGACTGCTTCGGCCCGCGGAAAGAGAGTGAACGAATTTGACAACGTCCCGTGGCGACTGTTAGGCTGGGAGTCTGTGGGCGCCACTCTGCGAGCTCTATGCCGCGTCGCCTGCTCGTCGGAAGCCTGGCATAAAACCAACAGGACAGGACAAGCTTCACAACGTCATCATCTTCGGGATCATGAAGTGATGTGTGGATCATGACACATGAGGCCGGACCTCATTGCAATGAACACCGCAGTTGCCGCATGTGACAAGGCGGGCACACAGAGGAGAGCAACATGGCATCTGTAGTGTTTCAAGATGCTTCAAGTGCATCGCAGCTGTCTCGGAGGGCTTGTGGGTCATATTCAAGGCCCGATTTCTGTTACAAGTCAGATTGTGCAGTACAGCTACTAGTTGAGTTCAACCGGAAGTTAGCAAGATCAAACTCTCACTTCATCGTCTGTTGCAGAGTTGAATCAACTGGAAACTGCTATGCCGCTGTGGAGACTCGTTTACCCTTTCGAGATTTTCCAAGAAGTCGGGTTTGGATCAAAAACAAAAAGTTGAGTCTTGTAGTTTTGTAAATGTCAGTTCACTTGCTGGAGGTGCGGATGTTATCTGGCCCGTGTCTTTGTGCGTGGTGTTTCTGACTTCGCTGAAAAGTATCTTCTGTTCGGCGTGTGGCAAATGCCCTTAGGTTTCCTTTTCGTGGTTTTGTGGTTCATGCTTTTTGCATGAATCAGACCGCGAGCTCGGGCGGGGTTCCTGGGTTTCTGACGAGTGACCATTGACATCATTACTCAAGTCATGCTGCAATTCTCAGACTAGCCGCCAGAGCCGGCCGCCGTGGGAAACCAACAGTCCAGGCAGCTATGTCAGTAGGCTCCTGGGAGGGGTGGCGAGGGCGGAGGGGGGGGGGGAGGTCGCAAATCGCCCCTACCACCAGCCCAGGGGCAGGTCTGCCAGCCAGGGGCCTCCGAGGGGCCTCCAAGGGCCTTCCCAGGCCATAGTCCCCAACCAGAAAATTTACCCCCCCCCAAGTCACATTTCAGAAGCGTCAGTGAAGCATCCAGGGGCTTGCAGGGATGTCCGGGGCCACATGTCCCAACCAGAAAATCTACCTTCTCAGGCTGCGAAAATTTCACAAATCGCCCCTGGGACCGGCGCAGGGCTAGCATCCCGCAGCACCGGAAAGAGCCCGAAAAACGCCTTGGGGGGCCTTTGGGAGGACAGTTTCATTACACAGACGTTGGCATTGCACGGGCAGATTGTCACTGCAGGGCTCGAGCTGGCAGCGTGCGACCTTGCTGCTTGGTGAGACTGCGGCTTTAGATCTTCAGCCCGCGTGAGACTTAGACCCCCGGCACTCTGCAGGCTGACACAGAGGGACAGGCGTGTCGCCACCATGCACCGAGGATGCCATTCTCAAGAGTGCCGTTCTCACTGCTCGCCCTGGGCTCAAGACATCAGGTTCCTGGTTCCACCGACTGTCTGTCACTACGCAGTCGCCCAACATAGGACGGAGGAATGTCCGTCAAGGCCGCATCGTCTCATCACCCTCAGCAAACGGTGGATCTTCGACAAGCTCCTGCACAAAACTGATCAGCAACGATGGAGAACGAAATTATTCAACAGATGCTGTGGCGCAAAACTAAGCGCAGAAAATCCTAAGTCCTCGCCTGGCAGCTGCGAAGTATCGGTCGCACGATGGTGCAAATGATGGAAGCATGCAGCTCAAGAGCCAATGGCAGACACGCACGATGACGTGTGTTTGGATTGGGATGTTGACAATGTCTGAGCGATTCCGTGCACGTAAAACCACTGACAACAATCTGTGCAATGCCCTGGAACAACGACAGCATCACATGTCAGTATCGATCATGCAGCAATGGCAATGGCACTTCACCTGCAACATGCCCGCGCGACGTAGGCACGCAGACCGACTGGACACAAAGCCTCGCTGCACACGATCGCCTCACGAAGGTTCACGGCGAGTTTGAGCAGTAAGCGGGATTGAACGGGACAGAGTGGGGAGCAGCTAGGGAGACCAGCACCCAGGACTCTTGACATACTCTGAGAGTGATAGTCCTCGCGGCAGTGGCCACCACGGGCAGTGCTCGGCTCAATGCACGCGGCGAAACCCTTGCGACAAGATAAGAAAAGCTCCTGCAGGACTTACCAAGTGCGAAAGCACCAAGCAACCTTGAGAAGCCACATCATGACAGCACGCATGCAAGTCTTGTAGCGGCAATGACCGGGCCTGCATAAGCAACACCGGGAGTGACGGCAATGATGTTGCAATCTCGGGGAATGTAACGGGAGAACGATCTGCCAGACCGTTGCGCGAAATTTGTTCCAACAGGAAGGAGATAGGCACGTCTAAAAGCTGTGACTATCGGCACTCAGATTTCGCAACTCGGGCTGTATCGTTTGGGTTCGAGCATGCGGTCCATCCAGACCCCTGGCGATATTGCTGCGACGAGAGTCTCTACAGAGGGCTTGGGTACTCGGGTAGCTCGCAAAGGTTTGCGGGGGGAGTCTGGCATTGGGGCGAGTTCGTTTGTCTTTGCATCCTGCGAGAAGTTAATTTGACGATGCAGCTGCTAGCTGGGATGCGAGGCCGGGATGCGGCAGATTGGCAGATGCAACTGCAGCACTTTTGGACGGCTTTCTGCGGTCGACCGGCTCAGACTTCTCACAATGCCAGTTGATGAACAGTTAGTTGGATGTGATGCACTGTGCTGGCTCGAGGTTGCCACACGCCGTCTTTGGCCTTATGCAATGCGGCAAACCGACGGCAGTTATGCTCTGCCAGCAATCCTCCAGTGCATTTTGGAAAGGCACCCATTGCAGACAGGTCCAGGTATGAGGGTTCTTGTGTCGTGGGTCGGATAGCAAACATTTCTGCGACTCTGATCCTTGTGGGACCTTGCCCTGCCGCTCGAACTTCTTTTCGATGTCCTTGCGCTCTCCTTACGAAGGTTCTGGATGTTCTTACCACGTGGCAGCCGGCTCTGCACGTGCTGGGGCGGCTTGGGTTGTGGCGTCTCCGTCCAAGTCATGCGACACCCTCAGCTCAACGTGTTTCCGTGTGGTCCAGTTCTGACTCACATAGACATAGGCAGATCCAAAAGATTTTCTAACGGCTGCTTTGCAAAAGGTGGCTCTGGTGCCTGGTTTATTTCAGGCTACACAAGAACGGAAGAACATTAGTGATCGCAGGCAGGGGCCAGTCCGCGTGCTCCAACAGACAAGAATGACAGAATCCAGAACCCACCTGTTACACAGACTTCATCGACTCCGCCTCATTCAGTGTGCAACTGTGTTGATGGGGCCTGTGCCTTCCCATCGGAGCTTTTTGCCAGCAGCTCTGACGAAATCATCTTCTAAAGCAGCCAGGCTCACACGGACTTGCGATGTTGTCATCGCCAGTGCTACACCCCGGATGCCACAGACTGGCTCTAATCATCGAATTCGACAGCGTCAGCATCATCGCGGCCTGATCAAGAACAGAAGCAATATTTTCCAGGGCAAGGAACTGCAAATGCGCGACTGGACAGCGGCCCCAAATCAAACACAGGGGAGGCACAGGACGGCAAGGAAGCTGGACACATCATGACACACCATCTGAGCGCCTTGGAAAGCGATCGCGGGCATATGCAGACACAGCACATACTAGTAGACTGCCGCACGACAGCTTCCACAGACTGCTCATACAAACGTACGAACGAGTGCAACATTAAAGTGTCGCTGCTGAACCTTCTCCGTGTATACATTAGATGATTAGACCACAGGTCGGCATCACTTCATGTTGCTTTGCCGGAGAGTGGTACAAGACACACCTATCCACTTGTTCACTTGTGTTCACGGCAGAACGGGCAAGAATGAAGACACAGAGACTACTCTTCGCAACTATTTCTACCAGATTCTGCCAACCGCTACGCAAAATTCCGGAGAGACCCCCAAAGAGGGATAGTCCAGATGCCAGCACACAAGCCCAGAAACCTCTTGCTGCTCCTGGCCGAGCAATCTGACTGTTCTTGACTTCTTGACTTCTTCCAGTATTTACGAAAGGGACAGTGCTTCCCGTCCCAAGCGCTGCGAAGTTGTCGACGAGTGTCATAGAAAAACGGATCATGGTCGTTTCCGGGTGACGGTCACCCATGTCTTACCGCAACTCTCGGTGTCTTGAATGATATTGGAGTTTGATGTACAAGCCGATTTCTTCCCTCGCACAAGCGTCAGATGTTCGATCCACATAGAATCTCATATTGCTCGGGGCACGTGTTTGCAACAGATGTAGAGTGAACATGGCACCGATGTGGTGCGTGTCCGAATGCCATAAATGAAGCGCTGTTTGCTTTTTTCCGCAAGGACCAAGAATCATCTCGTCGTAACTCATGGGGATGTCACCCCCGTGATATGGCAAGCTAGCTCGACATCACGGGCAAGACTTCAGAATGCAGCTTCCACGCCATCCTGTTTTCCCAAAGCAATCGAACCCATTTTTAGACTCAGGACTTATCCCACGGTGTGTGTGTGTGTGTGCTGGGGAAGCTCGCGGCGCGGATGTACATTGGCAAGTAGAAGTAAACACGTACGTCGTCACGTAAGTCACCACGTAGGCAGTCGAGTAAGTTCTTCCTGCGAGTTCCTCCTGAGGTGACTTGTGGAGCGTCTGTGCAGAGCCACTCCACGTCAGGCCCAATTTTGGATGGCCGCACGGTCTCGAGCGTTTCACCTGGCAGGTCGCTGGCGTGAAAGCCAAATGCTGCTGAACTCCTTCCTGAGCGATCGGAGCTGGGGCTCGACAGGTAACTTGAAGTCCAGCCAGGCCCAGCTCGGGCAACTGGGCTGGCCAGTGCTGACGTTGTTACGTTTCGACGTCGCTGTCAGGCATGGTGTTCCGCGAGGGGCTCTGGTAGCCACATGCGCGTGTGGGTTTCGGACGTGCTTGTGGCCACCAATTTTCGCCCGGTACTGTTAAGGTTGTTCAAGTCCCGGGCATTCCATGGCAGGCTCAGCAGATGAAACACAGCCGTACGAACACATGTTTCACTGGGAGTTCAGGCAGCCCTGGATATCCTCTGCAAAGTGCGCGAAGACAGACTTCAAGAGGACGCAAGCCCGACAGACGAAAGATGCGCTGTGGGCACAGCCAAGTCTACCTGGCCCAGGCCACTCTCCTTGCCACGGTGACCGTCGCTGGACTCAGGCAGACAGCATGATGCTCGGGCGACATGGAGCCACTGAGGCAGCCTGCGACGCGGCGCACCAGCCGAGAGGACTTCGGCACATCGGACCATCGGCATGCATTCTTCTCCGAGCTCTGGCAAGTTAGGAAACCTGCAGCCTCTACTGGCCGATGTGGCAATGACAGCACTGCCAGGCGCTCGCGGTGAAGGCAAGTTAATCTCCAAGCGAACTTGGAAGCGGCTGGTACAACAGCTGCATACCCTTCGCTGAGGTCCGCCTTGTCTTTGACCCTGCGGCGTGATGGGAAAAGATCGGCATGCTTTCCAATTTCCGCACTGAAGTTCCGCAGCTAAGCAATCACCTGTCACCTTGAGCACCTGGCTTCATTTGACGAACTTGCGGAACCATTTTGCAGGGAGCCAACGCAAAGCGTGCCTCCTGTCCACGGCTTGGCTCCTCGCACACTTGTGCGGCTAGGACAGCTCGCACTTCGAAGCAAAAAGCTCTTGTGTGTTCAAGGTCCGAATACCCCGATCCCCAAGACGGGCAAGTACGTGAAGCCGCACCTGAAAGAGGCCACGGGCCCAATGTAAAAACAGCCACGTTGCAACTGGGATCAGTTCCGTGAACCGAGACAGGTTTACAAGTTCTTCCGCGATGAGTGGGTGAGAGCCCGAGGGATTTCTGTGTGTAGGAGAGGCGCGGGCTCGCTAAGCTGCTAAGTGAGGTCAACTGCAATGTCTTCCGGTCTCCTGGGCCGATGCAGAACGCCCCCTAGACTCGTCAGAGCTTAGGGAGCAGAGCAGCCGAGCCTGCCGACGCAGCCACAGGTTGGATTCCTCTGGGGATGTGGGTCCACTGTTCCACACTCGGAGCATGCAACACTGCCTTCGTCACCCGGAGATCCCCGAACAAACCGAGATCTGAGAGACCCATCACACTACTCGCGGACTACTTCAGCATTTGCCTCGGCAGACCTGGGACACTGCAGCAGTTTCGATCTACCGTCAGTCAAGCTCAGGGACGCTGCAGGGGTTTCCATTTACCGTCAGTCAACTCAAAGGTGTGGATGAGCTGAAGCAGATTGTTCAGCCGAGAGCCCAGCCTGCCCCGCTGGTCATGTGCAAAGAGCCGTTGGCCCCGAACTCAGTGAAAATCGATGCTGCGTCTAAACAGAGTATTATAGAGAGGCTGAGAGGCTTCACATGACACCGCGACACAAGGTCGTTCGGGATGTTCGCCTCCGGGAAAACTTGAGTCTATTGGAGCAGCGAGCTTAGGAAAAGACAGGGCGCTTCGCTTCAACTGACTTCTGAAATCGGCGCCTGACCCGCCAACTGCCCTCCCGGCTCTTCTTTGCCCTTCTGGGGATGACGTGCTTTGGTGAGAGGGGGTTGCATCCAACTGGGACAGGTCACCAACATGAGAAGAGGATTTGTCCTTCATTGAAGTGACGAAAGACGAACCCGGGGTGTTTTGCAGCTCAATGCAAAGCCTGTTTGCCTCCTGCACTTGCTGAATCGTCTGTTAAACCCGATCAATAGATCCCGGACCGCCGGAACCTGCCGTGCTTGCTGGGGCTCGCAATACGAGCCACCTGAGCCAGATCGCACACGTGCATATTGTGTAGCATCGTGCTGCCCGAACGCAATCCAAAGCACAGACGAAAAAGTTGCAGCAGAGAATGGGGTGTTTCTGAAGCAGTCAAGCCTGATGTCGAGGCAGGAGAGGCTGAACTACGAGCCAGCTTTACCAGGCGTCAGAATTGTCAGTTACGAAAGTCAGTTTGCAACAAGAGTGAGAAAGACCCCTACGAGGCTACTTGCGTGACCGGGTCACATGGCAGGCCGCAGGGCCGCAGGGTCAAGAGCAGTGCAGCTGCATGTTTAAGGTATTGAAGGCATCGTATACGGACGGTGCTCAGGAGGATGAGCTAGCACCGCACTCCTGCGACAACATTGAGGTCAGTGTTGTTCTACGTGCTTTCCAGCCTGTGGCGTCGGGTGGTGCGGCGTAGGAGCTGGTCCAATCTTTTCCCCTCATCCATTCCCATGTGCAGAAGCCTGAGCAGTACGGGCGATAAACTAATGATGCACACCAGGCATGGGAAGCGGCACCGTGTACTGGAAGTCCTGGTCTGGAGGAGGCATGATGTGCTCAGCCTGAGGTGCGCTATCCGGCTGGTCCCGCCCATTGCAGCAGAGGGAGATGAGGTGATTGGAAACAGAACAGGCAAAATGAAAAATCAACCTGGAGCTTGGCAGGTTGAAACATTGATGTCAGAGCGATCACCAACTTCGACAATGAGGCAGACCGCAGCGCTAAGATCTCAGCTCCGACCAAGGTGTCATGATGAACGAATGCGATTCGGTTCAGTGCGGTCGACATCTGCGGCTTGACATGGTTTGGCCCAGGGCATCGGACTGCGGGAAGCCCATGACTGTCGGCATCGTCTTCGCAAGCAGTCAGGCCGTCGGCTGCCTGGGTGAGTGATAGTGTGGAGCAGTCTCAGTCTCAGCCCTCTTTCCCACTCCGTCGACACCTCGGGGCCCTGGGGGTTTAGTCGTCGGCGGGGGCACACGCGATTTCAAGCAAGCCGTCCAGATCAGATGTGAAGATGGTGCAGGTGCCCGGCTATCATCCAGTGATTGCAGGGCTCTTCGATTATCTGCGCAGATCTTAATATTGTACTGGAGCATGCTGCCATTCGCTTACGGTGAGACATGTGTGTTTTTTCTGCAGGGATGGCCTTCCTGGACCAGCCAAGCTCATCGGCTTCTTTTGCGGGCCGTCGCCTCAGCGACTTTCGCGACTCGACCTTCGGCGACTTCCGGATTTGAGGTACGAGGGCCTCCTGAAGGACCTCTGGGCCATCTCCTCGGGCGAGCGGCGAGCGCGAAAGGCGGAGCCACGGCTCAACCGAGGCACCGATCACGAAGGACATGGTGGACCAATTCCGGAACTTGGGGGGTCAGGAGGGTCCAGAGCTTTGCTTCCTCCTGCAGTGGCACAGTGAGAGATGTGGTCATGTGTCCATATGTGTCCTGGGCGCATGTCAGCTTGGCAGCAAACACATGGGTGTAGACAACGGTTGAAGTATGCCTCCGACAAAAACTGTCTGCCAGTGGCAATCATAGCCTTCATGCAGAATCTGCCCTGCTAGCTGTATCCTTTGACTTATGCGGGTACGCTAGACTCAACTGCTTCTGAGATCTTCTGAGTCCCGAAGCGCAGAAGGCACAGGTAGTGCATGGGAGGTAGTAGTGGGTAGCTGGGCAGCCGAGCATGCCCTGAGCATGCCCATGGCCCATGCTTCCGTGTTCGACCTGGCCTGACCGTGGCCGGGCCTAGCTGCTCCGCGACCGCCTGCGACGTTTTTCTATGGCCTTTGGGACCTTCAACAAAGGCTTCAGCAAAGGCCGGACATGTGTGGCGAGAAAGTTGCGCCCCCGCTTCACAGCCTGGCAGGTGGCTTCGGCAAAAGCAGCGGAGGTGGTGGCTTTTGTGAGGAGGCTTCACGGCTTCACTGCAGTGCCCAGGTCGTCCACGTAGCAAACTCTCGAAGCTTTTTCCAAGGACCGCAGCCGAGACTGGCAATGTCCCAACAACTCCTGCAACACGGCCTTCCAGGGCTTCCAGCTGCTTCCAACAGTTCCAGACCTCGGTAACTCCGCCGTGATAAGGCAGAGAGCGGAACTTCGTTAAGCGACCGGCGTGTTTCAAGTGCGGAACCCCAAGGCAGGGCATTGCGATATTGCGGCATTCCCGTCCTTGCTCTTCCTTCTTCCGGCTTATACCAGGCCGGCTGAGGATGCGCGAAGAGCTGCTCAACCCCCACCAACAAATGGCACCACGCTTCATGGCATGGCCTCTCGACCAGAACTTACTGGACCAAGCCAAGGGGAACCGCCAGCTGAAATTTCGAGGTCAAAAGCTACAACAAGAAAGGGTGCCTACCTCTGCTTCCTGGTACCTGGTACCTATCAAGTACAGCAGAAGTTGCGAGCACCAGGTTCGGCTTCATCATGTGCACTGGCAACTCTGATATTCAGGTCCGTCTCGCTTCACCAGACGGAGTCAATTTGGCCTTGCACACTTCGCGAGGATCTGTACTTTACCCGAGAGAACGTCAGCTCCAGGTTACTGTAGCCTGGCCTAGATGGTCCGTTTCGAGCAAGAAACCTGAACACTCTTCAGCTTCTTCTGGATTGAGGCATCCCGACATGCCTGGAGAAAGGGTGACCTTCGAGATCGGCTACGAGGGTCGCCGAATGGTTGCCAGGACCATGACATGCTTGAGTTGGAAGCAGGGCCTGAGAAGAAGGCAGTGTGTACGTGAGGAACGTTCGGCCGTTCGGAGAGGACAAACACACCCAAGCGGTCCGAGCCCCCGGGTTGAGTGTGACCCTGTCAACTTGATCTGAAAATTCTGAAATAGACGACCCCTCCCAATTAAGCCTGACCCCTTTGATTTCTTGTTCTTGACCTTGGCAGTTTTGTGCCCCGAACCTGCATTTTGTATTTCAGGCGATGATGGCTAACAGCCATAGAGCAAGATATGAAAGAGGATACGACGAAGAGGCCAGCGGTGAGGCATTGTCGGAGCTTCAGTTGTCCCTTGTCGACCAGCGGAAGCTGAAAGGACACAAGCCGAGATTGGTATGCTGCTCAATTGACTGCACTTTATCCAGTCAGTTTGCGTTTGCTTCGGAAAGCCCCTTGGTGCAACTTTTGTGGCCAAGCTGTCGCTTTGAGGAACTGTCCGTCCTGCAACGAGAGAAACTTCTTGAAGCGCAATGTGTGCTTCAAGTGCCAAACACCGAAGCCGATAGTGGAAGGCACTGCATGCTGTTTCATAGAAAGTGCTGTGTACAAGCTTCATTTCTTTCTTGCGAGCTCTCCGCACACATCGGCATCAGCAGAGCCAAATCCCTGTCAAAGATCCTCCGGGTGGCCCAGCAGCTGCTGCTGCTGCAGCTGTGCCGCCTCGACGCACGTCCCACCCTGAGAGCTTTCGTATGAGCAGCACCAGCAGCTGCTGCATTCGCCCGGCCTCCCACCAGCTGACACGTCAGTTGATACCTTATACCCGTGACTGTGAAGATCTCAAAAGCTACGCGCAGAGCCGCAGAGCGTAGTGAAGCTCCCGGGCCAGAACTGCAACAGCTTTGGATTCGGACATGAGAATGTAGAATGGTATCTACTCCAGTCGTGATTCGAAACCGTGCGGCTCAGGCTGTCCCCACATGCTGGGGCTCGGGCCATCAGAGAGGCAAAAGCTGGGCATGCTGGGCTGACCTGCGATTTGCCGCCTAAGCACCGATGCAGGCTCTAGCTGGGGGACGTGGAGCTACGGTGGAGAAGCAGGGCGGCAGCGACGAGAGTAGCAGCCCGTCGGGTCCTCAAGAGTGGAAAGATGAGCAGTCAAATGCTGTGCATGAGCTCAGGTCCAGCGCCAAGAAAAAAAATGATAAGAAGCACAAAAAGAGGCTCGCAGCACTCAAAGCGGCTGCGACTTGTATTGTAGGACATGCAGTGAATAAGCGACAGGAAGAAAAGCAGCTCTGAAAGCTCATCTAGCAGCCGCGCCAAGAAGAAGGCTCGATGTTACGTGCGTCAGCGAGTTGGATACTTCGTGGGCTTCAGGCCAAGAGGTCGCACAAAAAGCAAAAGCACAAGCGCAAGTCTTAGCTCTTGCTCTTTGCATTCATTCGCTGTCTCAGCCGCGCGCCCAACTAAGATCAAGGGGGGTGAAAGTGGAGCCAATGGGCAACCCACGCCCTTGCCAACGGGTGGCCAACGGTCCACCTCCGCCGTGCATGTCAGGCGGATGGCGCTTTCCGCCCTAATCTGCTTCAGATTTGGTTACGCTTGGGTGGCCCGGCTTCATCGAAGGCTTGCATGGTCGCAACTCCCGATAGCTCGATCTCACTTCACGATGCGGGTTGGCAAGCGAGGGGCTTCATCGCGAAACCTGTTTCAATGCACTTTCACTGCTTGAGAACTCAACAGATTGACGACCCTACGGTTATGCGCAATCTCCTGCTCTTTTGAGCCCAGAGCTGCTGATTGATCATGGTTTCTAAAGTTGTTGATATGTACTCGTTAAATAATCTGGTCTTTGGCCCGAGGAACGAGACTTGTAAGCCGGCTTTTGGCGTCTATTGACCATGCCAAGCCCTCCCATTCGGAGAGGCAATGCACGGCCCAAGCACATGTTTGTGACACCCGCCCCCCTCCAGCCCTCTTGAAACACTGAGAAGGACGAGGGTCCTTGGAAAGCATGCCACGGCAGCATTCTCTTCGGAGAGCTGTTTTTCTTGTTCGAAGAATCTTTGTTCAAGGAAGCACGGATCATCATCCAGTGGGGACTCGGTGAAGAGCAGCAAATCAAGGACCTCCGAGGGTCCAAATCTCACCGCGTGTTCGTGCTGAGCAACGGCACCCGGGCTCCAGCAGGTCCAGCAGCAGCGGCTGTGTCATGGAGGAGCCTGCGCATCAGCCGGCGCAGCACAGCCCCTGAAGGAGACTCAATCTTCTTTGAGTAGTGCGACTCTCATGCGCTGAGGCCTGCGAGCGACAATCCAGTGAACCCAGACATTGACAAGGCGGGGGACCGCACAACGTTTCAAACTTGTCAGGCAAGACATGTTGCAGGGGTTGCATCATGTTGCTTAAGGCGAAGAAAGAGGCGCTGGAGCAGCTTCTGAAGCTCAAGCCCTTTGCCCAAGCAATGCAAGCCACCACCAGCGGACGAGCCCACGCGACCGCCTGCGCGTCGCTCAGGTCCGTGGAGTCAAGGGAGCAGCGAATGAAAGAGTGGCGAGAGCTGCTCCGGCACTGGCACCCCGACAAGAATCCACACAGAACGGAGGCAAAGGAGCAGCGCTGGTCACCGCCATCTTTCCGTGAACTCTGCTTCGCAGGTGGCCACGGCAGTCTTCCAGTTCTTGCAGAAGGGAAAGCCAATGCTCGAGGGAGGTTAGCGGAATATAGCGGTACTGGCGACCGTCAATTGCAGGGAGCATCAGGAAGCAACGAAGCCGCGAAGCAGCCTCGAAAGCCTCCGCAATGGCTGGGAGTCATTAGAGCACATGGTTTTCAGTACTCTGAAGCCCTTAGTCTGAGACAGCTCGACAACCCTAGGCGTGAGGCTATGAAAGTCTTTCCCGAGGGGGGAGTGCGCTTGGATGTTTTCTTGGGTTTGCAGACTACCGTCCAAACGCTGTGCTTAAAATGATTCCCATACAAAGTTAGAAGCCCCGTCGCCTGTTTGAAAACAGCTCGGAGGAGCGTTTTCCATTCTTGAGCGCATGCGTGGGATCCTGCGTGAATCAAGACTGTCCCATGTGGCTCTGCGCTGGTTCTGTAGACCGTCTCGTGGTCAGGATTTGTTGTGTCAGTTTGGCGATCCCTCGACACTCGCTTTCAAAGACCATCTGCAGGCCATGCTTCAGAGCCTGCGACCCGGGAGGCGAGATTGGCACATTTTCGTTGCAGTGCAGGCTGCGATCGAGACGATTTCTCGTCACAAGCTGGATGGCCTTGTGATGGTCGGAAACGAAGCGAACCAGGTGCGCATTCGATGTCCATGCGAGCTCTTCCGTCGTGCTGTAGTGATGCACTCCATAGGTCGACTCGGCCTTCCTGGCAGAGGCTGCAGAGCCGCCGTGTGAGAGCTGCAGGGGTGGATTTTCTGACAAGGCCTGTGCGGCTTCTCGGCTGAGCACCAGAGTCATCGGCGTGCCTGTGCCCTTGGGCCTTCGTGAGCTTACGATCTTCGTTTTCGATGCAGCCGCCGCGGCCGTTCCCTGAAAACGAGTCGGGAGTTACAAACTCGAAACTTTTGTGGAACTCTCCCGCTGTGCAGCGGACCATCCGAACCTGCTGAATGTTGGGGGCTGGGCAGTTTTCATTTCGCGTGCTTTTGCGCGTGCGCGAGATTGTGCAAGCATGGCGAAATCGCTCTGCAACGTGGCTTACAGATGATAGAGACAGAGAAAAAGAGAGAGAGAGAGAGAGAGAGAGAGAGAGAGAGAGAGAGTTCCCTACATGGGGGGGGAAAGTATCGGGGCCGCCGTCCAGACTTTAGCGGCGCTCGAAGCATGGCAGCAAGCCTACTTTGGGGGCACACACGCCGTACATGACAGCACCCAAACGGGGGAAGAAGCTGAAGACGAAGGGGAAAGAGCAAGAAGCGCAGAGCCGGCCGCACTCCCCAGCGACAGGGGGACCAAAAGGCAGTGGATTGGCTTACAAGGCATGACAGAAGCCGATGCCATGGCACTGGAGACGGACAGCTTCCTTGCTGACCTGGGGGAAGTGGAAGCCATGGACACTCTACCACTGCCCACCGCGCCGGACGTGAGCTCCGCGGACGCCGAGACACTACCGTGGCCAAATGCCAATGGGGGGAGACGCACGAGCCCTTCTACACGACCACGCAGTGAGGAGCCGGGGGAAAGCACGGACTCCAGCCCGGCCTCGCACAGACGTAGAAGGCTCCAGGCTGCTCTCTTCGACAGACACGGCCCCATCTAAAGGAGGGGGAACCGAACCCAGGTCGTGAGCTGGCTGCGAAACTAATGTATACCAAGTTTAACTACCTGTGTGTTTGGGGGAAGCAGGCCACAGTGCAACTGGAGCTCGTAGACAAGCCAGTGGGGAACCCCTATAGTCGTCGCTGCATCGTACTTGTACCCAAGCTGTTGTTTCGGGGAGGAAAGGGGGGAACCACCAGCAGCCTCCTCCACACCATCTTCGTATCGTCCTGTGTTCTGCAAGAACTGGCTTACTTTGTGTTGTGGGGCCTGGCCCTTAGCTACTTCGCAATGTAAAGAGGGGAGGCGGCTGCAGTACGACTAGCCTACGGGGGGAGTAGCGTGTGGTGCAGGAACTAAGGAAACCGCCTAAGAGGGCGCGGAGGTGAGGCCGGGATGCGGGCATAAAGTAAAGGGCTGAGGGTTGGTTCTGCACCAGACGCACTCTACCTGTTGCAAAAACCACCGGGGGAAATCCTCCACAACAGATCCCAATGCCTCCTTCCACCAACAAGGCAGGAAGGGGGGGGGCCTCAGGCCCGGGTCTGCTCGCAGACTCAACCCCAGCAGCGAGCGAGCGAGCGAGAGAGAGAGCAAACTACCCGCTGAATGGGAGGGGGACAAGAACGCGCGGATGACTGAGCAAATGGCAGGAACGCCAAGAGTGAGAACCACACCCTACGATGGAGAGAAGGGACACCATCCCCCGAGTGCACAACCAAGCACCCCTTTACGGCCATCCGAATGGACAAAGCACGACGGCAGTGACACCAGAGGAGCAGTGAGGCAGTGTAGTTTTCTGTTTCTCGACGCCTTAGTTTTTGCAATGCCGCCGGGATACCCGGCAATCCGTGTACAACACCAGCAGACGCTTCAAACACAAGAAAAGTGCACCATACCGCTGCACCTTACTTCTTGAACTAATTAGAGTGCGGGGGGCACACGCCACAAACCTTTCGCGAACCTCAAAGTGGAGTGCCCGCAGCAAGCACACGGCTTGCGGGGCCGTTAATTACAGCATGTTTTTGCAAGCCCTCGTGCACACGCTTTTCTTTTCGAGCATTCTTCCTTTAACCTTCCTGATTGGTGACAAAGTCGGTGGGCCTCAACGCCACTCGAGAGGCACACGCCTTCAACAGGGAGGCACACGTTCCTGTAAAGACCGAGCCCATTCATTCAAAAGAATGGATGGGGCAGCGCACCCGCGCGGGACGGGAGGACTGCTCCCGCCCCAAGCCCCAAGCAAAGCAAAGCAAAGCAAAGAGAGAGAGAGCCGTAGCCGCCGGGAGCCCAACTTGGGAGGTCCAGAATACCGGGGGTGAGTTCGTGACACTACCTGCAGTCCACCAAGAATGGCATCTTCACCTATGCAAACAGAGGCCCCCGCTACTGAAACGGGGGGGGGCAGGGAGGAGAGAGAGAGCTCTCCCTGCAAAAAGCAGAAAGCCGAAGACCAGGGGAACCTCACGCTCGACATGATCAGGGAGGCCATGAGAGCCGAGCTGGGAACAGTGCGACATGAGGTTGCCCAATTCGGCATGCGAGTGGATGGCATCGAAGCGGGGGTGACGAAGCAGATGGAGACCACCAACAAACTTCTGCAGATCGTCACCACCAACCACGACAAGCGGGGCACCCCCCGCTGGCGGCCCCAGTGGCAGCAGCAGCATGGCGGTACCTATGGCCAAGTGGCCACTGTGCGTGCGCTCTGGCTTTCTCTCCTGGCGAGCTCTTGCGAAGGGCCGAGACTGTCCGCTGAAGTATGCTGGGCCTCTTGCGTCTCGTTTGTCCAGCACCACTGCGGCCCAAGCGCCCCCGTTGCTGAGTGCTTTCATGTGTAGGAAGGAGTCAGGCGAGATAGGGAGCTCGGGTGGCATAGTTCTCGGCACGCGACCTGCGCCTAAACTCAACAGCCATACATTCAGCTCCCCTTCCACTCGCTTTGCATCCCCTGTGGAAGTGGAGCTCCCACTTCCTCCTCTGCGTCGTCTTGGGTCGCTGGGATGTGGGTTGCTGCTGGCTGTTTGCTGCCCCCCTTTTGCTGTGCATTGCGTGCCTGCAGTTGTCCCCCCTTGTGGTGGTGGATGTGCTGGTGGAGTGTCGCTCGGTCCTTGTGTCGGCTGCGTCGGGTCAGGTGCGGGGCTCGAGGTGTTTGTTGAGGAGCTGCGAGAAGCGCGCCATGTCGCGTGCATGCTGGGCAGGGTCCGGGATGGCTTTGGATCTCCCCCCTGTTTGCTGTTGAGTGGCCTGCTGCCTGGCTGTGTGAATCGCCGTTTCCCACTCATCCTCTTCGGTGTCTTCAGAAAGCCCAACCCACCAAGCCACCTGCTTCCACGTCTTGCTCGACGGTTTGCTCATACCCTTGATTTCGAATATTGTTTGTACCGCCGCTTTGAATCTCTTGCCTCGCATTCTATGTTCGCCTCCCCCTTCATGCTTTCGCTGGCTGTAGCTGTGGCTGCTTGTCCCCCCATATCCGCGCTGCGGCCACCCCCTGTCCTCGTCGTCCTCCAGCTCTGCCGTGGCTGGTTGGTCGTGGGTAGGTGGTAGTGTTGGGTCTGCTGTCGAGGCTGGTGCCCCCATGTCGGTGATTTGTGCGTCTGGTGTTGGCCGAGGTTGGTCTGTTGCTCCTGTTGTGGCTGTGGTGTCTTCTGGGGTCGTCGCAGGTTCTGTCTCAACGGAAGTGGCTTCTGGTGGCTGTACAGGTGTTGGCGTCGTTGGGGCATCTCTGCTGGCTGCAGCTGTTGCGGTTGCTTGTGCGGCCGCCTGGTGTCGGGCTCTTTGCCAGCGTGGTTTGCTCATGCTTGAGCAAGGTTGCTCTGGCCCTGCAGGGCCCGCTGCTGCTGTTGTTGTTGGTTCGACCTGGTCCTCAAGCGCTGGTGGGTGGCTGTCAGTGGGGTGGTCCAACCCTGCAGGATTTGCTGCTGTTGTCCCTGGTTCCTGCCTCTTCCACTGGCTGCTGGTGGTGCTCAGCTGGATGCTGGCATGGTGGAGTGAGGTCGTCGCTGCATTGGCTGAGGCGGGGTGAGCTGATGCTGGTCCAAGGATCTGTTGCAGCTCCCTCACTGTCTGGGCTTGTCTCGGCTAGTGTGGAGGTATCCGTGTCCGAAGCTGCCTGTTCGGTCGTGGTGCCTCGTTGGGCTGTGGGATGTGGTGGCTGAGATGGTAGTGTGGGAGCCTGGCTCGGCCTGGGTCGTTGAGGTGGCTGTGGTGGTGTTCTTGTCGTTCTGCTGGTATCGGGGGGGTGACCCCCCTTCCCAATTGTGCCCTTGCCTGCTGGGCCTGCAGGGTGTAGCCGTACTGATTGGTGTGGCTCGCCAGGGGTGTTTGCTGGGGGTGGTGCCCCGTGTGTCCTGTGGCTGGCAGCTGGTGCAACGGGTATGCCAAGCTGGGGGATGCTGATCCCGGCAGCTCGGAGAAGGGCTTGGTAGTGGAGGTGGAGTGCCAGTAGTTCGTCTGCGTGTTGGTTGGGTTGGGATGCGATTGCTGAGGTGGCCATCTGTGGTGTTGTGGGTGGTTGTGGTATGCACACGGCTGGCATGTGAATGCGGAGTGACCTTGTCGCGGTGGCTGGGTCCCCCCGGCCGTGGGGGGTGGTTGTTGTTGTGGTGGCGGCTGCTGCTGCGTCTGTGGTTGGGCGGGCTCCTCATCTGATTGGTGCCATGGGTCCGTGTCCGGATCGTATGGCGGCGCATAGTGTCCGAAGCTGGCTGCTGCTCGCTGGGCTGCTGTAAAGTATTGGTCCTGAGCTGTGGGTTGTTGCGGCGCCGGCTGCAGAGTAGAATGCTGGCTTGGTTCGGGGCTCCTCACGTGTTCGTGAGGTGACTGGTCGGTCGCCGTAGGCGTGGTGGGCCATAGCTGCGCTGTTGTCCATGCGTCTTCGGTGGGTCCTCCTCCCTGCTGTTGCTGCGGTGGCTGTGGTGACAGCTGGAGGTGGTGTGGGGTCAGCTGTGGGGCTTGTTCGTCCGTTGGCATTGGTGTGCCTGGTTGCTGGGTCTGCTGCCGATTCGTGGTTAGCAGCTCCCCTTGCCCAGTCATTGGCTCATCGGGCCCCACTGCTGCCTCTGCAGTTGCCGGTCTCCCTTGGGTGCTGGGCACTCTGCTCCCTATGCGGACCGCTTGCCCCTGTGGGGGGCTGGGCGGCCTCTTAGACCCCTGCGCGAGCCAGAGGACTGTCCATGCACTGAAAATCAGTGCAAGCTTCCGAATTGGGGCCATGGCGTGGCCTGTCGCTGTTCGCTGTGCCTCGACTTACTCGAGGCGGCAACGGCTGCATCATGTGCTTGTAGGCTGACTTTGGCCCCTAAAAGCACCAGGTCTGCACATGCCGAGGCTACGACTGAAAACTGTGTGGCATGCTGGTTGAGTCTCTGTCTTTTTGTTTTTGTCCTTACCGCTGTTGTGGTCTAGGTGGCGGGGTGGAGGTATGGTGTGTCGTTGGTGTGCGCCCGGTCGCTGGCGTCCCCGTCATGGGGCCGCGGGCAGTGCTTGCTGTCCCCCCCTGTATCTCAGCTGACGCTTCACTGGTGGGGCAGACCGCTTGCTCTTCCCCCGGTTGGGTGCGATGTTGCCAATGCTGCCTTGCTTGCCTGTGGCCCATGGCACGTCGAACTGGTGGATGAAAGTGTGTGTGAGCTCCTGCCAGGCTTGGCGGTCGTGGGCAATGCTCATCCAATCCAGACCTCCCACTGCCACGATCTGCCTTTCTGGGTCTGAGTCGGAGTTGAAGCGGTGGCCATGCCGTGCCCCGCCACGAGGGGGGGATCTGCTGCTGCTGCTTCCACCATTTGAGGTTTTTCCACTGGAGCATCTCTGCTCCCCCCTGGGTGGAGCGGGCCATGTGTCCGTAGAGCCACCAGGTTTGCCCTAGGAGGAAGGTGCTCCAGCGGGGCTCCCCGGACTGGTAGAGTATGACTCTGGCTCGTCGCATGCTCCGTGCATTCCACTCCACCCAGGTCTCGGCGGGCTGGCGGCTGTCCCCTAGCATGGTGCGTATATGCCGGAGCTGTGTGCTGTTGACTGCTTTGTGGAGGGTCTCCACGATGGGCCATGACTGGCTGGCCCACAGGGCAGCGTTGCGTACCAATGTGGTATGCATTTTGATTCTGGCTTTGATCGGTGTTCTGGCGCGGAGCAGCTTGCTGTGTTTGCTGAAGGCTTTGCGTGCTCGGTGGTTCATGGCTGAGGTGATGGCTGCCACGGGCTCGGCGAAGGTGAGGGGGGAGCCTAGCGCAGTGATCTCTGTCCCCCACCTTTGGCAGTCCACAGTTTCCCCTCCAATCCGGAAGGACCCCCCCCCTGTCTCCTCACTGAAGAGGATTGCTGTTTTGCCTGGATGGATGGCCAGGCCATCCTTGGCGAGCCGGACTTCTAGTTCTGCTAGTACTCGCTGCAAGTGGTCTTTGTTGTGTGACCAGAGGTAGGTATCATCCATAAATGCTCCCCCTGATTGTGGTGGATTGGGTCCCCCCTTCGGGGGGGGGGGCAGGTGCCGGGCAGTGCGCCCCAGCACTTCGTCCAACGCTGTCGCAATGATGGCTGCAAAGAGCACTGGACTATCGGGTGACCCCTGGCGCACCCCATTGCTTTGGGGGATGGTTGTTAGGATGTCTCCGACTGCTACACGAAGTTCTCGAGCTTCGAGAAGTCCTAACCATGCTCGGGCTTCCCAAGGTTGGCCCCCCATGGCTGCTCCCCCTGTGTGTAGTAGGCGTCCGACACGGCTGACAACAAGCGCGCCTATAGATTCCTGCCACACGCAATCGAACGCCTTGCGGATGTCTAGTTTGACTATCCAGGTAGGCACGCGCCAGTCGCGGGCCATGCGCATCACACGGCGGAGAACCACCAGTAGCTCGGTGCCTTGCCTCCCCCTCCGCGCCCATTGGTAGGTGTCCCCTTCTTGCAACTGGTGTCCCCCCCTGCCAAGCAGCAGCTGGGCAAACCACTTGAGGACCGCCGAGGACAACGTAATGGGTCGCGTATCCCCCCACGTGGTAGGGGCCCCCAGGGTTTTTGGGAGCAGCACCGTGACGCCCTCAAGCGCCTGGGGGGGGAGTGCCCCCCTGTACAGGAAGTCGTTGACCGTTGAACACGTATGTGAGGCGGGTCCCCCATGCCGGATCTTGGAGCAGCACTTTGAGTGCTTCTAGCGAAATGCCATCCGGCCCTGTGGATTTCCCCTTGTGCCATGCGGCAGTCGCTTCAAGGAGCTCGGCTTCGTCGAACGGCTTCCACTTGTGCTGCTTGCATGCCACTGTGAGAGCATGTCGGAGGGTTTGTAGTCGGGCTGCTGTGCTCTGCTGTGGTACTTTGTGGAAGATGTTCTGGAAGTGCTGTCGTAGATGGCTCTGCCAGTGGATGTCATCCAGCAGGTGGTGCTCCCAGCCGGCCCTTGTGCTTGCTTGGTCGAGTGTGCGCTTCGCTCGCCAGTCCATTTGGCTTGCACGTTGGATGTTGTGGTGTTGCCATGCTCGTTGCTCTTGTTTCCTGGCTCTGCTGATGCTTTTCCACGCTGCACGTGCGCTGGCCCCCCCGGGCGCAAGCCGCTGAGCTGCTCGCCGTTGGGCTCGCAATTGGTGGCTTTCATGGAAGCGGTCAGCCCCCCCCCCGGGCACCGTGACTGCAAGAGCAACCTGCTGAAGCTCATGGAGTGGGTCGCTGCATGGCTGGGGCGGTCTGTGATCCAGCGTTTGTTGGTAATCCCCCGCGAGTCGGCGAGGTCCCCAGCTCACCTTGGTGTGTGTGGCTGCGGGCGCGCCGGCAACCACTGTCCAGACCGCGTCGTGGTCTGATGCTGCTTGGTGTCTGCAACTGTGGACCCCCCCTTCCTCGGCTCGGTAGCCTTTCTGCAGGAGGTAGTCGAGCCGTCTGGATTGCATGGCCGTGTTGTAGGGATGGAAAGTGGGTGTGGCAATGCTCTGCGGTGGCAGGCCGACCTTCCACAAGGCAAAGGCATGTAACAGCTCCTCGCCTCTGCTGGTATGTGCTTTCGGGGCTCCCCCGGGGGTCACGGTAAAGGTCTCATTGGCGTCGAGCCCGATCCATGCTTTGTGCTTGGGCATGTGTGCGCCCCATTCTGAGACCAGGGCTGTTGCTTGCTCGGCTGTGGCGTGGTGACGAAGGTGTGCTGAGATGAATTTGGCCTTGGAGGCTGAATGTGGGTGTCGAATGGTGGTGCTTATGGCGTGCTTGTGAACTTTGCTGTGGTGGTGCATCCCCAAAGATGAGTGAAAAAGTATTCCCTCTCCTCTCCAAGCTCCCTCGCTCTTGCCAAAGATCAGAATCCATTTGTAGCGAGAGTCGAAAAACAGGCCGACTTCGGTGATTACTTCTTGCAGGAGAAAAACATGAATTCGACTGAGCACCACGTCCCCGGCAAAGTTCTGGGTGAGCTCCAGGATTTTGTCCCCGGTCAGCCCCCCCAGGTTCCAGCTGACAATGCCAAGTAGCGGTGGGGGGCTTCCCCCTTGAGGGGCGGCCCGCCTTGAGCTGTGAAACTGGTTCTCGGCAGATCCTCCGACATCTCAGCGCAGTTCCTCTTTGCGAGGTCTCCACGCTTCCTGCACCTCATGGGGTGCTTTGCCGAGGGTCTTTGCCATGAGGTCGAGACGAACCCAGCCGACCCCTGCGCGCTCGGCTTGCTGGGGGAGTTCCATGACGGCACTGCTGAGGCGCTGGGAGTTGTACCACACTGTCCCTGTCGAAAACTCCACTTCGAGTTGAGAGATCTGGGCCCCCATTTCCAGCATAGCTCGCTTGACTTTCCCCGCCAATCTGGACTTCTTGCAGCGCTCTGGGGATTGTGAGAGTGACATCCAAAGCTTCTTGTGTGCCCCCGTGGGGCCGACCCCCAGCATCACGTTGGCGTTGCGAACCTTTTGGAGGGTCACCTGCACCGCCTCTCTGCGCTGGTCTTCGGTTTCCCCCCATTTCTGAGGTATCGGTATAATAGCGTATCCACGCTTGAGGCCGGGAACAAACATCTCGCTGTAGTCGAGGGGTACCTCGAGCTGTCTCAAGATGTCCTTCGCCTTCTGCAGTGTCACCGTTGAGGCTTGCTCATCGGGCCACCCCCCGATGATGAGGGCCGGTTTCTTCGGGGCTTCTGTGTCTGCGGTGCTGCCCCCCGGTAGGGATGACCCTTTGAGCTTGTTTTCCAGCAGGGCGAGGCGGTTCTCCAGCTCCGTCTGTCCCCCCTGGAATTCCTTGATGTAGGTGGCCTGCTTTTCCTGCTCGCACTTCATGCGAGATGGATGTTGTTCGTCACAGACACCGAACGGAACCACGACCCTGCAGCTACACAGCTCAGAGGGGGGGACGCCTACATCCTCACCATGCCGAAGGGAACGAACAGGTGGAGTCACAAGAGACTTGTCCATCCGGCGGCGTTGCAGTACTTTGTGGACTGGCAGCGTGACTGGACTGTGGGAAGAGGCACCGCACACCTTCCCACAGGGGGGAGACAGTCCGTCGACAGCTGGGAAGACTTGGGAGACGCCTCATGCCACAAAGACGGGGGAAACCCGAATCAACTCCTGACGACGAGCAGGGGGACGGCGATGAACAGGGGGACCACCACGAGGAGAATGACGACACCAACATGATGCAGACTCGACTCGGGGGTTCGGCAAGCAGCTCCGATCCGCCCGCCCATGTGGTTCCAGAAGGATGCTTAGCCATGGCCATGGTACGGTGCCTCCTGCGGCGCATCGCGGCGATCCTCGCGGAGAGCCCCGAGCTGCACCTGGAACAAGCCGTGGAAAGCGTACTGCTGCTACTGGATCCCCACAGTCAAGGGGGAGAGGCCAACGTGCTTTGGAGGGAGCACAAAAAGCGACGAGTCTCCAACGAGTTCCTCGAGGTGGAAGAGCAGCTGCGCCGCATGGCTCGGCGCCTGCCTAGCGAACTCAACGACGAGGACCTAGCCACAGACCTTTCAGTGGGAATCGCGACCCTCTACCAGGACCTTAGCACGTTGCTCCGAGCTACTGCAGACCAGGCGGGGCTACAAGTCACAGAGGCCGTGGAAGGCACCAGGACGGCCATCAAGGCCATCAGGAGACCGAGCCCTCCGAGGTGACCGCGAGTGGTTAAGCGAAGGCTGGCTACTGACAGTTGCCAGCCTAACACAAGAAGCAGCGGGCTTAGCTTTGGAGCTCCTCTACGTCCCTCCTGCAGTACATGCCAGCAATGTGGTGGCACTGGAAGATGGTGGTGAGGAACAAACGGGGGGGCTCCCCCCACTGACCAGGCTCAAGTACTACCTGAAAGAGCTGGGGGCCCTTCTCCCGTTCCTGACCACCAACGAGGGGGAGCCCACAAGAAAGCTCCTAGGGCAGCTGTTACAATGGCTACAAGGGCAGGAGCGCAGTACCTTGATGATAGACAGCCAGGGGAACGCAGAGACCCAAGAGACCGATGCCCTGCCAAGCCTGTTTGGGGGTTCTCTCGAACCAGTAGACTCAGCTGCTGGGAACCTGGGGGACGCCCCGGCTGCCACTCCCCAAAGCTTGCCGACTACAGCCAATGGGGAACCAGCCGATACCTTGCAGCTGGATAACCACAGCGACGGGGAGAATCCAAGCAGAGGAATGGACAGCCAAGAACATGTTCCTACCCAGCCGGTGTTCTGGGGGCTACGTCGCGAGATGGCAGAGCTAGATGTACCTTCGTCAGCTGAGAGAGATGCTGAGACGGAGGGAGAGCCCAGCCACGACAGTGGTCCACCAGCGACCGAAGTGGCGGAGTCACACTACCTCCGGGAACGAAGAGTTTCCGATAGGAGCACGGCGTAGGCTGCTGCACCCACCGGGGACCGCCGTAGGACCCCCGCTAGCTACCGTACGGACGACTCCGACTAGGTCCCACGGGGGGAGCCAGCAGCCAAAGAGGGGGGCAGTTAAGATGGTGTATCTTACGGTGCAGTCGTCTTTTGTAGAGCTGTGTACCTTGTTGCTTCCACAGTTTACGAAGTCATGTCGCCCGGGCCTCAGCTGTGTACAGTACTTTCTGTCTGCTCTCACTGGCAAGTCGCACACACACCAACACTAGCAATATGCCCAGATCATGTTTGTGTTGCTGCAGTAACAGTACCCTCAAAGTTACCCGGTGTACACGCCTCAACACGGGGCAACGACTGCCGGGGGCCAAGCTCGAGAGGGAGAACCGGAACAGTTGGTAGGGGGGTTCCACACTTAGCCTTCGAGGCGGGTTGGGGTTTAGTGTTACGGGTGTTGTGGTTGGGGGACCGGTGCTCCGCTTGTGGAAACTCTCGGGCAGTCTTTTGTTCCTTCACCTGTCCCAGTGCGCGGAAACGCGCGGAGGGCAGTGCGACCAGACGCGGTGCCCTTCTGACTGTGCTGAAGAAGCCGTAGCCATTTTGGCTCAAGTGCTGCACCTTTGCTCGGGGGCCTGTGCCGCCTCCTTGCATCGGGGGGGAGGTGCGAGGTTGCCCCAAGGCTGTCCACCTTGGGGGAGCCTGCGCATTTTCCCCAGCGGTGCTTGAGTCGCATACCCGACGCCACATTGCTTAAGGAAGCCAGGTTAGCTCTGAGGGGGTGAGCCATAAAGGTGACCGGCAAGTAAGTGATACTACCTGCGGTGCGACGACCTGGGGACTGCAAGAGCCTCCTCCTGGACGCTTTACACACGAAGGGGGAAATCGCCTGCACCAGCGACCTTGGGGAAGAGACCAACGAGCATCGCGAGATCAACCCTTACGCTGGGAGGGGGAGTTTGCGTGATCCTGATCCTCAGACGGCTGGCCCGCATTGCACGCGATTGGGGCTTGGAATTCTACATAGCCAAGCTGGGCATTCGAAAAGCCTTCGACTCCATCTACCAAGAGAGCCTAGCCGCACACGTCCATCAGGCTATTGGGGAAAAAGCCAAGCTTTCCTGGGAGGCCCGTGCGTGGGTGGCGGTGCTTCATGCCCAAAACCTATGCATACAGGTGCCTGGGGAAAGCATCCCTACTCGGCAGAGCAATGGTGTGCGCCAAGGAGCACCTGAAAGCCCCGTTGCTTTCGGCTCGGTAGTGGCAGAGGGCCTGGACGCAGCAATCCGCGAGGCCAAAAGCAGCAAGCCGGCGGACGAAACCTCACCACCCCAAGACGGGGGAAGTTACATGGATGACAACTATATCTGGTCCACGTGCCGCAAGCATTTTCAGCATATGCTCTCATGCCTGGACCAACGGCTACCTCGACGTGGACTCTTCCTGCACCCCGGGAAAACTGACATGATCAGCAACTCCGAGAAGAAAGTCACGTTCAAGGTTGCGGGGGAAGACGTCGCGACAAAAGGACCAAAGCATGTTTTCCATGTGCTCGGGAGCCCTCTCTCCTTCCAAGGGGGGACTGCCATGCTATTGGCGGAAGCGCAGAGCAGAGCCCGAAAGGTTTTCTGGACTGACGGGGAATCTTTCACCTCTGCGGCCACTATGCAGAAGCTCCAAATCCATGTCGTGCTGGTCCGGCAAAGTGCCCTCTGGGCCTGCCAGACATGGCCATGCCACAGCAGCCTTTTGAGATCCATCAACACCATCCAGCTCGCCCAAGTTCGAGTTATGCTGGGATTGCGACGTCAACCATGTGAAGAGTGGGCAACGTGGAACAAACGAAGCCTGCGAAGAAGCCGCCTTGCCCTCTACCACTGTGGGGGAACCCGCTGGTCTACTTTTGTGCTCTCCCAAATCTGGACCGCCATTGGACATGTTAGCCGTGGCGACCCAATCGGGGGAAAAATCCTCCAGTGGCACAGCCTCCAATGGTGGCAAGAGCAAAAAGACCGCGGACGACAATTGCAGCATGCATCCCGCTTCAATGCCTACATGGACATAGACAGACAGCTCAGCGACACAATTGGCAAGAACTGGTTTGCCATCGCACAAGACCGGGAAACATGGGGGGAATGGGAGGCTGCTTTTATCGCGAAATATGACGTCCCATGGAGTAGCGGTAAACAGAACAGCATTGCCAACTTGGCGCCGGGGGATCAGCAAGCCGCCGACAGAGCCTTCATCGAGAGCATCACAGACGGAAAACGGGGTGGGAAGCACCCACAGCAACCCGAAGCAGAAGCAGCGACCACAACAGCGACGAACCCGAACCAGCAGCATGCGACAACAACAGCACGGGAGGGACTGAGAGAGCGCGAGAGAACCTTGCAAGCTGCCAGTTGAGTCGTGAATGGCCTGTTCGCCGAAGATCAGTGACACATGATCTACAACATCGCACTTTTCTGACATGCACCCCTACTACTACTACTACTACTACTGATGACTTCATGGTCCTTTGATCCCTATTAATACTATGCTCTACAATACAGACTTGTACTTGAAATAAGACAGCAAAAGCTTTGCAAGCGGGCTCCGCAGCCCGACATCGCCGCAAACTCAGGTATGCCCAGTCGCACGCTGCCGCTTTTTCTGTGGTGGGGGGTCTTCCACAGCGTGGTGCCGCACGCACCAGAACCCTCCCCACCACCGCCACTAGCTACGGCAGACAACACGCAAGCGACAGCAAGCAATCAGCAGCCGGGGGACCACACAACACAACCGGGCTCCCCACCACCAGCTGATGCACAACAAGGTGCAGGCATCGCACCGGCCGAACAGGGCCTGCCACCATGGCAGCAACAGCAATGGGGACAGACCGGAGCGCCAGCAGCACAGCTCGCTTGGGCGGCAATCCACCACCGCAACCACCACTCTACTTCCCACCACCACCTGCATACCGGATTGGATTGCAAGCATGCAATCCACAAACCACTGCTCCACCACCACTACAAGTACAACGACCGCTTCCACAAGCCACCACCCCCTCCGTGACGACAAACCAGCAGCCGCTCCCAGCTGGCCACGACGCGACGTCCTAACCACTAGACGATAAGGACTCTGCATCCTGTGGCAAACTTTGTACACTCTTTTTTCTGGAGCGCAAGCCTTGACAGCGACAGGCAGCAGCGACCATGGTGCCGAGCCCGAATATTTGATGGAGTCGGACTGCACGCAATAGCAACTGAACAAATTGATTGGTTGGGACCCATAGGCAGAGCCGAGACCTGGGACAGAAAACGGACTAAAATTCTGCTGCTTCTGCCGGCTGCATCATCAATTCCAATGACACTGACCCACAACGACATCAGCTTACTCTTCTATTAAGAATTAACTCGGCTTCTCTGTCCTGGTTTATAGTCTTGTATTTTAAGACAACAACTGAGTTACCAGGCATCATCACGCATCGTCCGAAAATATGCTTGCCGTGACAGCGGCGAGATGCCTCGAAGGACAAGAGAAGTAAAAAAAGCCAGGCAGGCGAACCACCTGCTGGAGGTGAGTAGCCTTACAGTGTGAGCTCAGGGAGTCAGACAACTCAAGGCCAAAGGTGCAAAGAGTACCTCTTATACACTCTGCATCACCTCAGTGAGGGAGCAGTTGCTAACACCTCCAATGGCGGCCAACCAACCACCCCGCGATGACATCCACGGCTACCACCCCGCATACGACTGGGACTCCGACCCCTGGAATAACCCTCAGGACGACCCCCCACCAGAGCCACGGCAGAACTGTGCCGCAACCCCACATGGCGTTCACAACACACCGCCCCAGGCGACAGCCCAAAGCAACTCGCAACCGCCTCAAAGGCCACAGCCACCACAAACACAACAACCACCACCACACGTTCCTGCCTGGCTTCCACCACCTGGAACGGGACCACTGCCGGACATGCGACAGGGGAATACACCAGCTGGATTTCCACAGGACGCATACCCAACAGCTACCTCCAGAGAGTCTGCTTTCCAGGCCCAAACTCCAACCAGCCCTGAGGCCGAAACCCCCCAGCCGGACTCCGCACCTCCCGATGGCGGAAAACCCGATGCTGCGGACCAACCGGTGGAAGAAGACCCATACCGGGGGATCCCCCCCCTGAAAACGACCAGACTGGGGCGCACCAGTGAGCACACAGAAGCACACTTCAACGAGAGGTGCAGGGCACGGGTCCCAGCGCGTTGGAAACAAGGAAGAAAACACGCTTTCAAACAGAGACAGTGGGCGGGGGGACACCTCGTGCGACCCGACCCCCAGCCACAACAAGGTCCCGGATGGGGCATTCTCGCAAGCCAAGCACAGAGTTCAACAGAGCACCACCCCGCAGATCAAACCGATGACGGGGGACAAAGGCCGACACCGCTGCCGAAGCACGCTTCCAAGAGGCCATGGCACGATTCCTGGGGAAGCCGCGACCAGCACAGCCGGGGGACCAGCACACAGCCGACCCTACAAACCCACCGGACCAGCCACAGCAAGCTCCAGCTCCACCGACATCCACCACAGCAACTCCTCCACAACACCAACGCACAAACCAACTACACCTGCCAAGCCTCACCAACCATACAAGCCCACAGCAGAAGAACAGTGGCAGTACGACAATGCCCCACAGGGGCCGGCACATGAGGAACTTGAGATCCCATCGAGCATTCCACACGCCGAGGGGACCACGGTGACATACCTGCCACTGTCACATGGCTGCTTTGAAGTGGAAATCACCGCAACCCACTACATCCCGACAGCACAGACAGCCTCGGCAGGACTGCCGCCACTCCACATTGCCCACCCTGGCCAGAGCGGGCCAGTACTCACAGCACCACCTTTTACGGTCGGCCTGGCAGGACGACTGGCCCCGATGGGCCCACCTGACGTTTGGTTATTTATGGTAACCTCCACGCCTCCCCTCGACGACTTCTGGCCGGCGAGTCTCCTCGTCGCCGATGGGGATACCTTCATCATTGAGCTGACCCCGAACGGCTGGCGAATGACCATCGACAAGCAAGTCCACTCAGCAGCCAGAGAGTACCGCCGGGGGAAAGACTCACTCCCCACAACCCCACTCCACCGAAAACACCGGCATCTACCGGCAACACAGCACAGGGGAGCAATGAACAGCCTTCCAGCTCGGACGCAAGCCACCCAACTCCACCACCCACGGGGGAACACCCCTCCCAAAAACCACAAGCAAGTACATTTCGCAGCCGACACACATGACCCACCTCCACGAGAGAGAAGCAAGAAGGCCAAGCCACAACAATCCGCCAAAGCCAAGCAACCACCCCCACAACCTCCACGCAACTTCAGCGCCTTCGTGGACACAAGAGACCTGCGGGGGAGCAGGGGCAAGGACAAAACAGACACACAAGCCTCCCCCACAACCCCCACTCAGCCTACACCACCGGCAGACCCTTTTGCCCAAGTTCGCGACGGCCGTAACATTGGGGGGAAGAAGAAAACCACCACCACCACAACCCCCACCACCACCAACAACGACCAATCCACTACCAGCACGACCACATTTGACAACACGGCAACAGCAACAACCACTGCGACCACCACACACAGCACGTGGTCCATCCCTACCACATCCACAACTACAAACATACTTGACGGCCACGACGAAGCCAACTTCATGCAGCACATCCAACAAGCACTGCAGCGTGCGGCCGCCCCTTTACCCCAGACCAGCCAACCCCCACAGCAAGCCAGCGTTGTGCAGGCAGAGCAACCACCGCCGGAGACCGTGCCTCACAGCTCCACAGACAACCATGCCATTGACCCACCCGAACCACCACCGACGCACAACATCACTCTCACAGCTACAGACCACATTGAGCATTACCTCACCCGTATCTACAGACTCTCCCATCAGCTACCCGGGGGAACATGATAGCCCACCTGGCCGAAGGCGCACTGGCCGACTTGCTTGTGGACGACCAAACAGAAGCCGAAGTCCTCCGGCACCTTGAACTTGAGTTTCCCACTGAACCCAACGAGGCGGGGGAACCTGGTTCAAAACGAGCCAGGACTGACAAGCAGCCTCCGTCTGCAACAGACACTTGAAGCGGTGGAGAACGCTCTCCTTCCTGAACTACCTGTACCTCCAGATGCCGCTGCAGTACAAGATCATGCCGGGGGACACCGCGATGCTCTGGGGGGAACACGCTCCACCCTGAACAACATAGCGACGACCTCCTCAGCAAGTGGGGAATGGTGGCTTCACGATAGACACCACGGCTTGGGCAACGCACCCACTGGGGGATACATGGACATGGAAATACCACTGCAGGACAGACCCAGCCCTACGGAAGATATTCCGAGTGGTAGCGATGAGAGTCCAGCAGAGCACCGCCGTCGACGACTTCATGCGGCGTACTTTGATAGACACGGGCCCATCTGAGCGGCAACTGAGCGGGGGAAATGCATGCCTCGCCTCGCCTCTGTAGCCCTGCCCACGTTCCTATTGCCTATTGTGTTGTTTTACATGCTGTTCAGCACGCTGTTGTGCCGACCCTCCATTGCAGGGGGACAGGCCGAGGCCGGCTTGTAAGCAGCGAAAACCCCGAAACCACCTGGCCAATTGCTGCTGCCATACATGTTGCTGTAAAAATCTTGCAAGCTGTTGTTTTCTCCTTACCAGACTGTTGTGAGCAAGGATGACTGGATCCGACTGTCCTTAGGCGGCGTGTATAGGTCTACTATCTAGTACGCTTGTGATCTGTTAACATGTGTCGTGATCCAGTACAGCACCACGAAGTTTCTATGCAAAATCAGTAGATTGGACCCCGCAGTACTTAAACCTGTATCGTCATCACGTTTTGGGAGAGGGGTTGTCCTTCTATGCAAACTCGGGGGAACATTCGTAATTCGCCTGAAGGAGTTTTATCCCCTCTCGGCCTCAAGCAGCATACTGGGGGATTGGCAATAATCATTGCAGGCACCTTCTCCTACAAACAGTCCCGTTATATTAGGTTCTATGACCAGCTGTCATTGCTTTCTTTTAATGCGAGGAGTAAGTGCCATTGCGAATGATAGCCCAAACCTCAGACATGCTCTTGTTCTCTTCGTGACCATGTTCTGGAATTTGTCTTGCTTCGCACTTTTAGTAGCAGGTCCGGGGGAATGTCATAAACTCCTGAATCATGTGGTGGACACGAGGAAAACTTTCATTACGCATGTTATCGCCATGAGGTCCATAGGGAGAGCTGTGTCATTGTTTCGCAATCTACGTCCTCGGTCTACCATTCACCAAAATAGCACTGTAGATTGATGCATTGCCAACAAAATCCCCCGCGAGAGCCTGTGTCAAAAAACTATCAAGCTTTTATCTTGTGAATCTTATTGGGGGATTCGGCAAATGCTCCTTGTCTGGCAAAGAACGGGGGAACATCGTCGTCCGCCATCATAGACTTTATGGCTGTAGCCTTACGATGTTCGCCGTTCTTTTTCACCCCCCGTGTCCCCTGTGTCCGTCAACACGACGGGTGGGCATGATGCCCGGGGGCGTTGACCCGTCCCCATGCCCAGGAGAGAGAGAGAGAGAGAGAGAGAGAGAGAGAGAGAGAGAGAGAGAGAGAGAGAGAGAGAGAGAGAGAGAGAGAGAGAGAGAGAGAGAGAGAGAGAGAGAGAGAGAGAGAGAGAGAGAGAGAGAGAGAGATAGAGATAGACCGCCAGCTGAGCGAAACAGTCGGCAAGGGATGGTTTGCCATCGCTCAGGATCGCGAGGCTTGGGCCTCACACGAAGCTACCTTCATTGCAAAGCATGATGTCCCTTGGAGCAGTGGCAAGCAGGGGAGCCTGGGGAACCTCGCACCACCCCAACCCGAGAGCCAAGAAAGCGAGTTCTTAAGAAGCATCACCGACACAACAACAGCACGACAACTTCGGTGGAGTGCAGCCGCCAAAGCAAACACTACTTTCAAACGCAAGCGACGCGAAAGACCTCAGAAGTAGACGGGGGATTCTAGTCTTCGGCACAAATGCAGACTTCCTTGAGCCACACTTGCAGTGTCGTGGATGAGCTGCTCAGTGCATGTGAGAACGACCTGTTAGTGTGGAGCACGAGACATGTTGTGCGTGCATGAAGATGACGACCTCCTCGACTCTCTGCTCGAACATTTTCTCTGCGACATGACAACATGACCGACAACAACTGAATACATATGTATATTTTCGGCGTAAGCCAATCGCTGCTTGTTAGCAGCACTAACAAAGCAAACCAGCCGCGAACAAGAGCAACAGCGAGAGAGATGCTACGCATCCTCTTTGCAACACTGACCTTGTGGGGGACACCCCAGAACAGAGCCCAGCCCCCCCCGGACCCGCCTTCTTCAAAGAGCCAGCAGGCCACAACTGGCCAGGACGCCACACACCAATATACAGGGGGAGCAACCAAAGCGGGGGAAACCCCTCCCCAGGCCAGGCGAGTGCACCCTGGCATACCCAGCACTGGGCACCAGACCAACAGCCAGCCCAAGTTGCTTGGACAGCAACACACATGACCGCCACCGGTTACGTCACATCGTGGGGCGGCTGGTCTACCTACTTTTCCCAACACACAGGACAGCCTCAGCCACCTCCACCGCCACAGCTGCCGACATACTTCCCACCACCGGCATACCAGATCAGTGCACAAGCCAGGCCAAACACAACGACCAGCAAGCCAAGGCAACCCGCAACAAGCACAGACATGGGCACAACAACAACCACAAGCTGCCGCCCCTGTGCAACAACAAGCAGCCGCGCAACAAACAACGGGGAACCCAACCGCCAGTTTCCCACGGGCTGCCACCCCCACCCATGCCGGGACAAAGAAGAAATAGTCAAGAGGCTACGATTGGGACACCGACCCTTGGAACAACCCCCAAGATGACCCCCCAACAGAGCCTCTACCTCACCAGGCGCCCAGGCATCCGTTGGGGAACAACCAACACCTCCAGCAGAGCACCACCAAGACCTCTCACACGAACCAAGCACCAGAACCACGGAAGCCACGACCCCACCAACAGCAGAACAAGAGGCTGTGGAGGCATCTTGCAGCCAACCACCTCCACCGTTACAACACACGCCACCCCGTCCAGACCACACAGCCACCGCCGGACTAGCCACGACCACCGCGCGACTTCACCACCCCCCTGGACTCCACTGATACCCAGGAAGATGATGCCCCAGCAGACAGCACCGGCTCCAGCAGTTCGCAAACCACGCACAATATCCCCCCATGGGAAGGACCAGGCTGGGGGGAACCGGCGCAAGGGGCATACACGAGGCGCGGGACATGGTTCGCAAAGGGTCGGCAATAAGCAGGGAAAGCACGCCTTCAAACAGCGCCAGTGGTCAAAGGAACAAGTAACACGACCAGACCCACAGCCCCAAAGCGGCCCCGGCTGGGGAATTTTGGCCGACCGGGCGCAGCGAGCTGCCAGCGCAGACCAATCCACAGCGGAAGCACCACGGGGGACCAAAGCCGACACGGAATCGGAAGCGAGATTCCAGGATGCCATGGACAAATTCCTGGGACGAACCCGTGGAGGTCAACCAGATGTACCACCGGCACATCCTGCATCGGGGGAACCACACCCAACAGCACCAACCGGTCGCGGCTGAGGAAGCCCGACCCCGCCATGTCTACACAGAACTCGAGCAGTGGCAATATGACAACGCCCCACAAGGGCCGGACGACCTTGAACCACCACCTGGCATCCCACATGCCGAAGGCACAACAGTCACCTATAATCAACTCACAAACGGGTGCTGGGAAGCCGTCATCAGCGCCGAGCTCTACATTGAGACACCACTCGCCTTCTCACCGGGGCTGCCACCACTCCACATGGTCCATGTTGGCCAAAGAGGACCGGTCATCGGGGCGCCACCACTGCCTCCGGGGACGATCGCCCGCCTGGCCCCGATGGGCGCACCAGACACCTGGCTGCTGATCATAACCTCCCTTCCCATGCTCGACGAGTTTTGGCCACAGAGCATGTTCGTTGTGGAGGGGGATTCCTTCCGTCGACAAACAAGTCCCCTCTGTTGCACGAGACACACGCAGGGAGATGGAGGCACAGAAGCAACCGACACATAAGAGTACAGACAAGCAGTCTTCAGCGGGGGAAGCAACTAAAGACAGAGCGAGCAGCTCCACGGACCCGGTGCAACAACCACCAGCCCAAGAAAAGCCCCAGCAGACTGCCGCCTCCAAGGACCCAAAACATGTCCGGTTTGCCGGGGATGTGAGGGACACCCCCAGACAACAGCAACCGAGCACCTCCGGCAAGGGGGATGCCCAGCAAACTGCAGCCAAAAAGCCACCACCGCAGCCGCCCCGGGAAACTGCACCCTTTGTGGGCACCCGTGACCTACGTGGAGCAAGAGCACAGCAGGGACAACAGCAGCGGCCAGCACCACCACCACCACCACCACCACCACAGCAACCGGAGCCGACCATCCCTGAACAGCCACACACACCCGACCCTTTTGCACAGGTGCGCGATGGCAGGGATATCGGAGGGAAGAAGAAAAAAGCCAAAGCCACAAGCACAGCCACCGCTACCACTACATCCACCACAACACTCTCCACGAGCACAGCTAACCTGCAACCGACGACAGGTACCAAGCCTCGCCGAGCAGCACAACAGAAAGACTGGAGCACTATCTGACGAGAATTTACCGACTATCCCAACAACTACCATGGGGAACCATAGTGGCGCACATGGCCCAATGTGCATTGGCCGACCTGCTTGTTGACAGTCAGACCGAAGCAGAATTGCTGCGCCATCTCGAGATAGAAACTGGGGGGACGCCACAACTCCCCTCCACAGAGCCACAAGCCAAAAAAGCGCGGGTCGACAAGACCCTGAGCAACACAGCTGCAGCTCTACACCGCATAAAAACAAAAGCAACGCAGCCCGCCAACCACCACTATATTACATACTACGACATACAGCACGACATCGACATTGTCTTGGAGTGGCTGAATAGCCACATGCATGCAATGGCTACAGCGACTCGGGGGGAACCCCAAAACTGGCAAATGCCGGGGGGCCGCCTGGACTATGAGGCTGGCATGCATAACACCGCCAGTGTTCTCCGACAAATGGGGGGAGCGCTACAGGGTATACAGATGGAGCCCAGCAACCGCGAATACTGGCTGCAACTGGTCGACGTGACCTCTTACCTCGTGGCCGTGGAAGCCGGGGAAACAGTCGCACACCCCGCGGACGTGATTGCAGCGAACAGGGGGATACTGCAATCCAACCTGGCGAGAGAGAGACGCCAGCAAAGAGCCCGCGCCATCTGTCTTGAGCTACAGGCCTTGAGAGAACAGCTGGACGAGTCGCCGGGGGAGGACTTAAACAGCGTCCACGCAGCCCTCCTCGACTCCTTCGAGGCGGTCGAGCACATTCTTCAGCCCACAGTACCTCAAGGCGGGGGACACCCTCGAGAAAGGACCGGGGCACGCAGGGGGACTTCCAGAACAACAGGTGGGAACCACCATGACCCACCAATCTGGGGGAGCCAGCTCCTCACAAGCGCTGGCTCCATGGTGGCTACGCGAAAAACACCATGGGCTTGGCAATGTGGCAGAGGCGTCTCGTACACCCACAGAACACTACGACAGCGACGAAAGCCCTGCAGAACATCGTCGAAGACGTCTACACGGCGCCTCTATAGCCGTGATGGCCCAGTATGAAATGAGGCCTCTGAGAGTCCAGGGGGAACGAAGCATCGGGGTGACAGTCTCGAAAGAATTTTCCGCGTGATATACTTTTATTTTAAGCCTTTGGTCATGCCTGTACTGCTGGTTTTGAAGAGACTGAACACTCGAAGCCTCGAACCTAGCAAGGTCGATACCACGCCCTGTCACACCAATGAAGCGGGGGATTTTAACTTATGTTGACTGCCCCCTCTAAACGCTATGAAATCCACCGCGGCATTGGCGAGACAGTAGACAGATCGAATAGAAGTCGAAATCTGCCCTTAATAGTTCTCATGTACCGTCCTTATGACCTACTCGTGAATACCCGGTTGTCTCAGACTTCTATTAGAAGAGTGGAAGTACAGGAAGCTGCAAAAGCTGATGTAGCCTTGATAGGGGGAAACAGTCGGCCATACTATGATGCATTTCACATACTCCTGTTTGTTACAGGTTGTTTCCGCGAGGCTGACTAAAACTCTCCTGTAGTGCAGAGAGACTGTAGCCTTTTCACGTCATCACACCGGTGATTTTCTTTATTCTGACCTGATGATGTGAGATTCTTAAGTAGTCCTGAAATAACCTGTGTGATACTTGTGTGATGATTGATGCCAAACTATATATCTCTCTCATTGTGGCAAGATAGCAGGGGATAACCATGAAGTTGTGTGGGGGATATTGTTTGCATGATGACATGTCGTCCTTACCGTGTTTGATGCTATGTTCGGAGTAACTGGTTGTGTAAAGGTACCCGCGATGTCACTAATTCGCTGTTGCGTGACGCACGAGCGGGGGATTGAAACAACCTGTGGCGATCCCATGTTCTCCTTTAGGACACATAATTTTTTATGGGGATTATTTTTCGACTGACGGGGGACGCCCAGAGTTGTGCATGTGTCTATTGAAAATGTACGACCCTGGGTAGTCCGTTATCGTATACTTGCATGGCTTTAGCTCGCACCGGGGTCTACATTTGACTTTCACCCCCCAACAAACCTGATAAATCATATCGGGTGGGCAAGATGCCCGGGGGTCTTGATCGACCCCTATGCCAGAGAGAGAGAGAGAGAGAGAGAGAGAGAGAGAGAGAGAGAGAGAGAGAGAGAGAGAGAGCAGTAGATCTTAGAAATGTTTTTTTGGTACCGGGGGACCCTTGAGTAGCGGGGAATGCAAGTGAACTGATATCGAGCACCACGAAAGGCTTCACACTAGCCCCCTTAACGCTGCAGCAGTATGCGTTTTTGTTATGCTGTTGCCCCCTGTGTGCTTGTGCCGCGAGTCAAGGCTTCGGGGATGGGGTGGGAAGGTGCAGGCAGTGTTCGGAATAGGGTGGGGAGGCAGGTAAGGTACAGTACCTAGCAATCAAAGAGGGGCAGAGCTTTGCTGTAGTGATGCCAAGGGCATGTTACGTTAGAATGCGTGGGTTGATGCTGGAGCAACCGCAAGCTTGAGCCCGAAGCGGGGGAGTGGAGCTCACCTGCGAGACAGGGGATAACTAGTGACATGCGTTAGTCGGTTGGCCAGGTGAGCTGGAGCATGGTTGTAACAAACACGTCCGGGGCCGAGGGCCGCTCTCGGATAGCTACCTTTGGAGAGACCTCGGATGACCCGACTTGAGCCTGCAAGGTTTTTCACGGTCATGGTTTAGGAGGGGTGTTTTCGGGGAGGGGGTTCACAAGCTCAGTCGAAGGAACGAATGCTTCTCTAATCCCCGAAAGGGGCCGTACAGACCTTGAGACGTGCGGACTGTGGAGGGGGTCGGCCTTCGGGCCAGGGTTCCTTTGGGGGCCCACACCCCAAAGCAAGCAAGCGAGAGAGAGAGAGAGTAGCTTTCGCGAATACGGAAGAATGATTATGTTCGTTCTTCAACCCTGAAAAGTCGCATAACAAACATGAGGGTGGGCTTGAAGCCCGGGGGTCCTAACCGACCCCTATGCCCGGGACAGAGAGAGAGAGAGAGAGAGAGAGAGAGAGAGAGAGAGAGAGAGAGAGAGAGAGAGAGAGAGAGAGAGAGAGAGAGAGAGAGAGAGAGCTCTTTGGCTCAAGGTGCCTACAACGACTTGCCGGATTTCCTGGTCTTCGCCAGCTCAAAGGGGGGGGCTTGGGGCGGGAGGGCATCCGACCTGTGGTGTTGGGGGTGCTCGTCCCGACCCCCGCCTTCCTTCAAACATCTTCAAACGTAAGTGCTAGCTGGGGAAGCTCATCCCAGAGATCACGACATTTTGACGACTTCGCCGAGAGTGTGACTGCAAGACCGTCCTCATCTTCGCTTTCGAGGGGGACTTCAACCAGGCCCACATCGTCAAGGTCTTACAGTTGCTCGAGTGTCCGGGGTGGAAGACTGCGTGTACGCTGGGCGGGCGGCTACTTCACTCGGACGGTTGAGCTAATGGGCAACATCGGCGAGCTCGCAACCTTTGCACTACGGAGAATGGGGGAACCGACTCCACATTCCTTTTTCGGGTTTCGCCAACCCAAAGGTGACGTGGGGCGGGGAGTAAGCGACAAAGGCGGTCCAAGACAGCATGCGTTGTGGGGCTCGTGACATGTAAGCCAACCTCTAGCTTGACCAGTATGCCAACCTCCTGAACTATTGAATGAGCAGTGAGCGCTAATTAGTTCTGCCTGCATTGCCTGTGTCAAACTCTGTTTGGTGCCAACTCCTTAAAACGGGGGCTGTGACCATGTTCATAGGCTCCACAGCTACCTCTTTTACTTTTTTTGCTCTTAATGTCGGAAGAGCCTGCAACCCGAATCGCCCGTTCAATCTTTTCAATGGCCTGTTTCGACAGTGCCCTGCACTCGAACCTTTTTCCCCACATCACTGCGTGGGGTTCTTACTTTTTGGGGCTGTCCCGCCTCCTCCTCGTCCGCCGCCTCCTCCTTCTCCTCCTCCTCCTCCCGCCTTCCTCCTCCTCTTCCTCCTTCTTTCCTCCTCCTCCTCCTGCCCTCACACACTGTCCCTCATCGTCGCACTCATGCCACTGTGAAAGACACACACATAGCCACACACGCACACACACACACACACACACACACACACACACCCACACACACACACACCCACACACACCCACACACACACACACACACACACATACACACACACACACACACACGCAGACACAGACACAGAAACATGCACATGTACATGTACATATACTTTTCACTTTCCTCTTTGCCAAAGGTCTCGCTTCAGCTAACGTTGCTGAGGACAGATCTTTCAGATCCGGCTGATGCTGCACTGAGTAGTACATCCTCCTCGCGGGCCCTTTCGCCCGGCGAAAGGGCACTTGTGCCCCTCTAGCAGGGCCGGTCAACGGCACTTCGTGTAAATGAAAATATAAGAGTCCTCACGCATATTGCAAATTTCATCAAGTTCAACAGGCTCGCTACTGTGGTTATCATCGGCATGACAGATCACATCATCACATTGACTGTAAAGCAAAGCCGTGTAGTGTCCAGCATCAGGTTGCAATCCCCAATGCATGAAAAATTGAGTTCAGCCGGTACGGTACCTGTGTGACTCGCAGATCATTGACATACACAGGCAGCAGAATGGTACACACACACAGACACAGCCACAGCCACAGCCACATGCACATGCACATGTACATGTACATATACATATACATATACACGCACACGCACACCCACACCCACACCCACACCCACACACACGTGCAATCCTCCCTCTGGACTGATAGAACTCTCGAGAATTTCAGTCGAATCATTCAGAGGTGTAGGACTTTAAGAGGATTTAGGCTTTACCTCTGGCCTTAACAGAAATCACATGTGGGGTTTGTGGCTTAGCCCCAATGCCATGCAGTAAACTCACAGCGACATATTGTGGCCACCAGCTGGATTCGCTATCCCCAGGTGCACCACTGCAGGTACGTTTACACTGCAAGCACAGAAGCGTCTTCGTTGGCTAGAGACTTCTGTGTTGCACTCCAGCCCCCTGCTAAACGGATTGATTGAATGGCAGTAAACCTTGGCAAACAGGTGTTCCACACACACACACACACACACCCCGCGAACGGGGTAGCCACTTGTGGCGGAAACAATGCTTGAAATCTGTGCCCATTTTCTGCACTCAGCACCTAAGCTCGATCAAATAGTGAAAAGAAGCATTGCTTAGCATCCCAATAATTGGGTATGCACCTTACATGCTATTAATCAAAACGGCCAGTGAAAAGACTGGCAAGACTAATTACATGCAAAAACTTAGCTTTCATGGAGAAACATCTCGCCGTCTTTTGCGAGGCGAATGGGAACACGAAGTCTTGCTCTCAGAAATGGTAGTCATCTCGGTCGATTCTGGGTTTTGGTCCCAAAGTTTGTCCGCAGCAAGGCGATTCTGGATCCACTGCTGTGTGGCAGGGAACCACGTTTTCCACCCACGGTCTTGACCATCGGTTGTCGTGCTTTTGGACCAGTAAAAACGCCACGAAATCTGCGGGGACCGAGATCTGCTGCGTTCCGACATGCTGGACAGACTAAAACTCCAGTGAAAGCCGCAAACTAAGGTTACACTTCAAGAACTTGCAACGCACCGGAGCAAAAAGCATGTAAAGGCTGCAGTGTTATTTTGGCTTAGCCAGGCAACTGCTGAGAAGCTGCTTCACTGCTTTGTGGGCCCAAACTCATCCTGGATGAGTTTAACAGGACACAAATGCTTCAAAACATAGTGGCAGGTGCACCTGTATCCGTTGGTTGAATCTCCGAGGAGGTTTTGGAAGTCTTCTTGGACTTCTTTTTCTTTTTCTTCTTCTTCTTTGTACCATCATCGTCCTTAGGACGTTTCTTGCACCTTTTGGGAACTGGCTCAGATGTCACATCAAAAGCAGAATGCCACGAAGAAGTCGACGAAACAGGTGAAGGATCACGAGGGCCAATGGGTTGGTCCATGGCCACCGCAAATGAGGCATCGAAAGAGCCACAAACTCCTACGGCAAAGAACTAATCCTGACATAGC